CTACAGTTACAAAATTTGCCACGTATATTGTTCTTGTCAAGCCGATCAACTTTCTAAATAACAGTAAGAAGCTCAGACCAAAAGAAAGTCAGATATTGTAGTTTGGATTTGTATCTTGTCCCTATCAGTGTCTTTGTGGGGAGGGAGGGGGGGGGGGGTTGCTGGTGTCTGTGTTTATGTGTGTGTGCGTGTGCGTGTGTGGCTGACTGTAGATTTTTCCTGCAAGTCCTTGTCTTTTTGCATAACAATTTTGTATTTTTTTTAAATGACAAAATATGCATATAACCCTTATCTTTTAAATGTATAGTGGTGACAATGGACAATGGGTCTCATTCATGAAACACGAGCAGAATGAATTTGTGTGTAAATCGTGTGTAAAGTGGTTCTGGCGTAAATTTACGGATTCATTAAAATGTTCGTATTTTCCAAATGTTAGTTGGTACGCAAGAAATCTACACCTGCTCCCACCCACGCGTAAATGGTGCGCTTAACATCCGAACGTTTTGCTCATTAATAAGGCTGCATTTTAATTCACCTTAATCAGGTATATATTTAAACAGCATTTTGAAAAAAATATTTGATATAGTAATTACATACGTTTTTTTTCTTTTTACTTCTATTATGAGAGCCAGTAATAGCAGATCTGGTGATCGATGGTGGTCCTTCTCCAGTTTGAATACGATTTTTCTGAAGTGAACTAATTCGTTTTTTGCTGTCAAGCTTAATGTCGAACCATTTTCTTCTCACTTCTGGGACTGTTCGATTAAAAGATGAAACTCCATTAACTGCATCTGTAATATGCTTCCAAGCTTCCTTTTTTTTAGGACCTGATAGGCCATTATGTATGCTTGAAAATAAAATTGGCGTTTTGAATGAACTTCTGATAATAAAACTTCAATTTCTGCATCCAATCACCACCAAACTCGGTGTGCATGAAGTCAAGACATTGAGGATGCTCAATTCCAGAACGGTTTGGCCGTGGCGAGGAAATGAATTTTATGACTAAAAAGGACACATAAAATGTGCTATAACTTTGCTTGTTTTACCTACAGTTACAAAACTTGCCACGTATATTGTTCTTGTCAAGCTGATCAACTTTCTAATTAACAGTAAGAAGCTCAGACCAAAAGAAAGTCAGATATTGTAGTTTGGATTTGTATCTTGTCCCTATCAGTGTCTTTGTGGGGAGGGGGTTGCTGGTGTCTGTGTTTATGTGTGTGTGTGCGTGGGTGTGTGTGTGTGTGTGTGTGTGTGTGTGTGTGTGTGTGTGTGTGTGTGTGTGTGTGGCTGACTGTAGATTTTTCCTGCAAGTCCTTGTCTTTTTGCATAACAATTTTGTCTTTTTTTTAAATGACAAAATATGCATATAACCCTAATCTTTTAAATGTATAGTTTGCTTTAAATAAAAGTAAGATAAATTGGTAAACTACAAATTGGTAATTGTAGCTGAATGAATTTAAAATTCATGTGCTATATTTCAACATATTTGCTTTCCTTAATATTGTAAAACACTAACCTCATTCTCATCTGAATTACAAATATTTTTTTTTCTGTATAAAACTACTCTGATTAAAAAAGAAAAAATACTTAAAAAAGCGGGGGTTAAGTTTTTGCATGTCATGCAGAAAAACCCTAAAGGCGATGCCACCGGCTTTTTATATATAAATATATTAGGGGTGGGCCGTTATCGGCGTTAACGTGCTGCGTTAACGTGAGACTCTTGTCGGGCGATAAAAAAAATATCGCCGTTAATCTATTCTCACAGTTGAGTTGGGAGCTGACTATACCACGCGCTATATGATGACTTTCACTTTGATATTTTAGCGCAGATGTAGTCGAATTGCACTGTAAGGGCCATTTAAAACCATATTGAAACGTCTGTTTATCCAGACATTAGGAAAATATCAGAGATACATTTTATATTTAATATGAGGGAAATACACATCCGTAAGGGGTCGCACACCGAACGAGAAGCGCAGCGCCGCGGCACGTCTAGGGGGCTGTTTACACCTGGCCATTTCATGCGTTTTCTCAGATCGGATAGCTATCTGATTTATCAAAACGATTCAATTTACACCTGGTCACATAGGCTACATGTGTTTTTGCAAAACGGATAGGCTATGAATCCGATCTTATATTCCCCTTACGCTATGCGGATTTAATGAAGTGCACGTCACCGAAAACAACAGATATGAGCTGCATTTTGATCATCGGCTAATTTCAAAATCAGCAAAGACGGCAATAAGAGAAAGCGGCAACCTGGTAAGATCATTTAGTTTCTTTACTTTTAATGAAGATAGTGTTAAGTGTCTGCGACTTACTTTCACTTTGATTTGCGATAGATTGCGGCGCGCTGGCTTGACAGGCGCTCAGCTGCTCATCTGAAGTAATGCGTGTCGCAGTAGCGCCGTCATATCTGACTAAAATAACATGACATATGGCCTATAACACGCTCTCACACGTTTATTTTTTAGCATTTTTGGGAGTAGTAACATTTACATATGTGGTTTCAACAACCAGATGCATTTACACATGTCCAGTTTCGTCTGGAATGTGGCCAAGACTACCTTCTGATGTGGTTTGAGTGATCGGAGTTTCGGAGGGCATTTACACCTGGTCTTTTCAAGATTGGATACAGAAAACGTATGAAGTGATTTCAGAGCATCCGTTAACTGAATTAATTGAGAATCTCACCTGAAAATCCAATAACATCAGCAAATTGACATTCAAGCAGCTGATTTCTGTATTGCATTATATGCATTCATAAGATATTTCATCCCTCTCTATTTATTTGTAGGCTATTGTAAGAAAAAGAGCTTCCCGGACACTACAAAATAATTAATTTTGTGTTACATAGAAGAAAAGTAGATCAAATGGGTTTAGAATTACACAAGACAACCTTATGGGAAAAAAAACTGATTTAGTTATTTCGTGCTGTTTAAAACTAGGGTTGACAATAGAATAAAATAATTATGATTACTCTCATTATTTATAATAATATGAACATTCCAGTGTTAAATCTTGTATAAAATATATTTAGGCCTTATTACAAACTACATGCGAGGTTATTTATTTGGGTATAGCACACACCTTTGGTAGAATTCAAATGAGCCATTTTAATCTAGATTAAAAAAATTAATCTATGCCCACCTCTAATATATATATATATATATATATATATATATATATAGCTGTGAGCAGCGATGAAGGGCCAAAGCCAGCGGTACCGCCACCCCGGTGCATTTAGGTAACTAAAGGCACCGGGGTTGCAGTGCCACCGGCTTGGGCCCGCAATCGCTGCTCGCAACTATATTTTAATTTCAGTTTCATCTCATATTTTGAAATATGAAATTGTATATAAAATCATAGCATAATTTCTGCATTTACAATTGCAGTGTAAATATTTTTAAATACTTAGATCCAGCTTCTGTTCCATTTCTGCAGTGCAAAAATAGATGATAAATTGATACTGATGTTGTTTGATTAGTAGCGCACTAAGCAAAATATGGTAAATGGTAAATGGACTGCATTTATATAGCACCTTCATAGACCTAATGGCCACCAAAGCGCTTTACATATTGCCTCACATTCACCCATTCATACGCTCATTCACACACCGACGGCGGTGTCAGCCATGCAAGGCGCCAGCCAGCTCGTCGGGAGCAGCTGGGGTTAGGTGTCTTGCTCATGGACACCTCGACACTTGGCCAGGTGGAACCGAGGATTGAACCACCAACCTTTCGGTTTGTAGACAACCCACATGAACCACTGAGCCACTGCCGCCCCGTATAATAAAATATGTCAAATTATCGTTAGTGATAAAAAAATAGATTTCATTGAGTCATCAAAATAAATGAGAAGTTGTTATTGGGTCAGATTGCTTTCTCTCTCCTGGTTTCTTAGAGCACCTTTGACTGATTTTGGACTGATTATTTTGATGCAGATACGAACATGGTTGTTCATATACATTATCCTGAAACAAACTGAATGTTAACACATTACAATAAGATCACATTAGTTAATATTAGTTAATATAATAATAAGCAATATGCTTTTAAAGCATTTATTAAACTTTCTTGATGTTAGTAAAAGTCGAACTATTCATTGTTGGTTAATGTTAGTTCACAGTGCATTAACTAATGTTAACAAACACAACTTTGTATTGGGATTTAAAATGTATTTGTAAATGTTGTAATTTCATTAACTAAATGCTGTAGAAGTATTGATCATTGTTAGTTCATGTGAACTTAAAGTAGTAACTAGTTAACCAATGTTAATTAATAAAACCTTATTCAAAGTGTTACCAACTGAACTAACTCTGCCTTTCCTCACTGATGGCATTGAAAGGAATTATGTTCATTCCTTTATAAACTAAGCATTCATTTTTGTTTCCTGATTTTTAGCTGCTTGATTGAACTGATTACATTGTCTCATTGTGAGGAAAGCACACTGAAGTCATACAGCTCTCTGGCTTAAGTCTTGGTTTGAGTTTGCTCGGCTTGAGTTTGATTCTAACAACTTTTCCCTCCCCTAGAGGTCTGTCTTGACATTATATTTGGGTCTGACTCTGAACCATGGTACATTTGCATCAACGCAAGTACCACAAAGAATACTAGCGGAAACTTACCACCAAATCTTTACATGCACAAATCAGCACTTGCATTTGTCTACCATGAATGTATTTTTAAGAGATGCGAAGCAGAGATGTAATAAATTTAAAGTTTTTATTAAGTGTTAGTGATGGCATGCCAAGATGTAAATTATACATCAGTAAAGATTCACCTTCACAAGTTAAACTGCAAACCATACTCCCATTTGTAAGTGGATTCAGGTGCAATTCACATTTAAGTTCAGAAAACTACTTTCACATAAACAAAACAAACCTAACTTATGAAACCACAAAAGTGTCCTAAAATATAAGCAAATTTCCTTTAAAAACCACATCTACAGTATTTATGTACTTGTGTTTTCTACTGTCATGTACAAGAGGAACTTGGTACCTTTTGCAGCCATTGTGTGTTGTTCTCCATGATGGTCTCTAATTGTTCTAGTCTTTGGACTGAGCTGTTGTAGTCAACCAGGTCATCTCGCTGCACTTGGTTAGTGAAGGTACTTGAAGGACCACAGTTCTGCAGTTCTGGCAGCAGAAAAGTATAGGTGCATGGCCCGTTCTGGATCTGGTATGACTTCTTTCCTGTTGCATCTGAATTGGTCGTAAATGCTTCCCCAGCACTAAGGCAATAAATTACAAATAGTGTGCCGGTGTTCAGCATATTTGTTCTGAAAATATTTAATACTACTTCTACCTGTTTACATAAATATCTTAGTTCCTGTCTTATTAGAAGATGGATGTTTGAAGAATGAAAAGTCTCTACATCCAGTTGATTCTCCTTTTCCAGGACTGTGCTCACACTCATTTATATGCCATCAAGAGTAGGAGGAGGAGACCGTGTCACAGAAGCAGTGTCACTCGCTCACAGGCTGATTGTACTCATCCCTCATCAGTCTAACAGGCTGTATTAAGTCCTCTATGAAGGACTGAGACTCCTCCCATGACCCATGGCCTCTACTTGAGGAGCACTGCTTGGAAATAGTAGGATAAAGAGCATTCCTGCTAGACCCTGAAGCTCTTAATATTTCCCTCTTGCCTGTATCTGCTGCTCCAACAAAAGCCAAGACAATGGTTTTGGTCGGCAGGAGAGAACAGGGTTGTATTTGTGTTTTTCTTAGAGGCTGCTGCTGGAAAAAAAAAAAAAACCTCTACTCAGGATGCAGCTGTATAATTCAAGTAATGCAGCTTCAGCAGTGTCCAAATCACACCAGACACATGTCCAGATGTGTTTTTTGCTTTGCTTTTGTCCTTCCACATTCTCCTCTTCAAAGCATTGGTCCCCTTGAATGTTTGAAGAGAGATAAAGAGAGGGTCTTTCAGTTGTCACTCACACTATCATTCATTTCAAGACCATCACTTCCTCTCCTAAATCTTGAATACAGTTGGGATCCAAGTCTGAAAATCTTCTCATTGAAAACTGGAAGCAAAGTTTTAGGTTTTTGAAAAATATCTTCAAAAAATTAAGAAATTCTGAAATTGTTGTCAGTTTTTCAGGTTAACTTGTAACTCAAATGAATATGTTGGTTCAACATATTCCGAATGTGCCGAATGATGAAAAACTGCTTGTTTATAAAAGTATTTGGCTTTCACTAAGATGAAATTTGTAAAAGCTCTTATCGTGGATTCCCGGTTGTCAATGCAGTTGCTAAAAATGATCTTGATTTTCATGTTGTCTGATAAGGTCATGCATTTCTTGCAGTCATTGCTCTTCTTTGGAAGAGAGAAGCAGTTGATTGTGTTATTGCTGTCTGTTCAGACAGTTTCTCATGGATTCAGCTGTCTCTTGAAATAATGTTTGTTAGTACAGCAGTGTTAACAGGGTGTCCGCGGGGTTTTAAAAAGTATTAAAAAGTGATAAATCAAAATTGTCAAATTTAAGGCCATTAAAAGTGTTAAATGTAGTCTGAGAGGTATTATTTTAAAAAAATTAGGTATTATTTTCAGACTATCAGGTGTCCTTTTTTGTGTTTGCCTTAGTCCGTATAAGTATTGCATTAGTCTGTCTGTTTGATACTGACGTCATATTCAGTGGCTGGACGATATGACGATATATAGAGGCTATATAACCCTGATATAAGTGATCACCCGGATTTAGACCTACCTAAATTGTATTTATATAAAGCGTTCACAGGCAAATTTGCTTTAGCCTATGTAGATCTATATATTGCTTTTATTTCCCTTTTATTGAAATCAGGCAAACATAAATGTCAGGTGACACGATTGCTGGCTGCATGTCAATATCCATTGATCACTGGATCTTTAGTAAGTTGTTAGGAGTCCAACTAAGTTGTTAGGAGTCCAACTTGACTCGTGCTCAATCTCAAGAGCGAGCAATCATTCACTACCAGCCACACGGAGACTTTCAACGCAACGCGAAATTATCACACATGCTGGAAACTAATGTAAACTCCCACTACAGGTACAATAATAGCCTACTTTTATCAGCTTGACGTTGAAGTAATGCTCTGTGCTCGTTCCATGATCATAATGTTACAATAAACTGCATTTAGCCGACATCTGATGTTATATAGCATAAGCCATTTCTCTAACTATTCGTGTATCTTTCACAATCAGCAATGTCAACATAGGTGAATGTATAATATGATAATGAAAACGGTTAGTGAACTAAACTGAACAGTTTCAGTGTTTCAGTAAGATCGTAGGAAGTAACATTACTGTACTGAACGCGTCTGGAAATGTGTATAAACAATATGGTAGTGGGATGACGACATTAGTCAGTACGTTAGATATAGTAAATAAAATAAGTTACATACTAAATGTTATAATAATGTTATCCTGGAACATTATTTTGTATTCATAATGTTGTACCTTGTTATTTCACTTGAGTTTACTATGTTGATCCGCGTTTTCATCCGGAGTCGATCAGATTCACGTTTTGCCTGACGAGCTTGAGCAGATAAAACTTCTTTTTTTATATATATATTTATGTGGAGTTTGTGTTGGAGTCTGTGTTGTGCTGGAGGCAGGACGTTTTGGGGGGTTATCAGACTCCATGTCGTCAGCTGAAGTGCCGTTGTTCACATGATAGACTGTAGGATAGAGAGGCTCGGGACTCAGGAGCGCGCATGCACGTCACTTCTGATGGATTTCGCAGGAAATCCGACCCAGAGACCTTGCATATAAATAAGAATATTGGCCTTCAGAGGTAATGGCAAAACCCGAAAAGTGGATCGTTGCAATGTGTGATTACAACCCCTTCAAACACAGGCAATAAAAAAAGGATTCATTTTATAAAAATAGTTACATATAGAACCTTTAAATAGTGTGTAATGTTGCTGTTGGTGCATGAACAGTATCTGCAAAGTTGCAGCGCTGAAAGTTTAGTGTAAGCAGAGATATCGTCTTTTAAAAATCAGGAAGTATATTGCCTACAAAAACGACTCGATTGGGACTACAGCTGGGTTATGGTACGTCACTAACCCACACATTTACATCAACCCCTCCCTCAGAATATGCAGAAAATGGCATGCGCATATTTCTGAGGCACGACATCTCGTCAACAGGGCCGTATTAAGAGCTCACTGGGCCCCGGGGCTATGAGTTACTGCAGGGCCCCCCACCACTTTAGGTCACCAACTGAGCTAAATGTTATATTATTATAGCCTACGAGTCATTTTATCCATCTATGATATACTTCACAGTTAAGTTATGTTACTTTTAACATGATTTTTTTATCATATCAAAATGTATTGACTAAAATTTCATAATTATTGTGACCAATTTCAATATCACCAAAAAATAATAGTAGCTTAAGAAAATAATCTCAAGCTTACTGATGACAAGAGTCACAAATTAAAATAGAACAAAGGCACAATAAATCGACCTATATGAAAAACTTAAAGCACTGAATAATATTATATAAAGTAATCAAATATACAATACATGGTTTTCACTATAAATTCAACATTCATTCTTGTTAATTTTGCAAAAGTAATTCAGTCAAATGCAGTAAATTACTTTCTTTCTGATGTTTGATTAACATTATTGACACACATGGCGACAGCAGCTTTATTAGCAGCGTCTGTCACTTTGAGACCTCAGAGTCGGATTCAAGTGCGCTGTGCAAAACCGTCTCAAGTTCACCACAGTCTATGGTTCACCTTGGTCTCAAAACCAGCATTTACAAAATAAATTCTCCCGCTGCTCACTGTGCCTGAGCAGTTTGAAATAATTTGTAATTTTGTATCCAAACCACAACGTTTAAAAACGCGTTTAAATGATAAACTTACATCATGATGGCGCAGCAAAATTTAAATATTTCTACCGGATATATTATCGCCAGTCCTTTAGGCGAATATAGAGTTTAATCAAACACAAAAAGCAAAATTATACATCCATCAAGTTAATATTCAAACTTACCGAAAGTTTGTGGGGTCGATGATGACGCTGTGTTTTAAGAATAGACTAGATTAGAATGAAGAGAAGAGTAAAGGCGATTTGATGTATAGCCTATTCTAATAAGGCGCAGGCAGCAATCATCTATAGGCCTACGTGCAGCAGCAGGTCGGTCGTTCACAAGTTAAATATAGAATAAATATATTTGTCATATCAAATTAAAACCTGACGTTTCAATTTACCATGGTTTGATTGACAGGTGGCCCGGCCAATCATAACGCCGAATACGCAACTTTGTCCGACAACAAAGCTGTCAGTCGGTGGACATGAACTTGAAAACGGTAATGTTTAAATTACTTAAATGACAATATTTGAAAGTTGAGACTTTGTTTCATATCAACAGTAAGCTGCTCTGAACTCTCTCTCGTAATCACTCGGTGTAACGTCTTTGCCCCGCAAAATATTTTTCACTGCGTGAGTGCATGAGAACGTGATGTGCGTGACTCATGAGAGCCGCCTGGCTCGTGGCCCGTCACATAGAAGGCGGGTCTTTGCGAACGTCTCTATTAATGATAATGATTCCATGATAATGCATGGAATATAAGGCAAAGTGCAACTAAATAACAGGGATAATTTGTGGGGGACGTTGCGTGGTAAGGCTTTGGTAATTAGATGGCTTGCAGTATCTGCTCCACAGCCAATCACGGGCCCCCTCCTTGCTTGGGCCCCGGGGCTTAAGCCCCGCCTAGCCCTATGGTTAATGCGGCCGTGCTCGTCAAGTGTGTTGTTCACGCAGCTGTCAGGTCTTCTGTGTTCGGGCTTCTCATGGACGCTATACTTCCTCAACAATGGATACAATTTATGTTTGATCATGTTCCAGAAAAAAAAACGATCGTAATCTAGCTCTCTGTGCTGCGCATTTTACGGAAGACAGCTTCCAGAATCTCCACGAGTTCAACACCGGATTCAACAAGAAACTGTTACTAAAACATGAAGCAGTTCCGACTTTAAAACAAGAGGCAGCAGTGTTGGGCCACAATCTGTAAGTAGGCTAGGATTTCATCATTTTAAATGTATTTGCATGTATTATTCCAGATGTAGCCTTGTGTTTTATTTTTTTTCAAATGCCAGCGCTGGCTTTATAGCCACTACTACTTAGCCTATGCTATTTTGTGTCTACAAAAAACGCGTACAAACATTATGGACCTGAATTTTCTATAAGTACTAATGTTTTAAACGTATTTTTCATGTATATATGCTTTATGACATTATTTTCGATTTGATCTAGAACATAAACATGCCAACGCTGTTTGAGTATAACATTAGTAGCCAGTCAGGTGCTATTGTTGCCAGTTAGATGCTATTGTGTAAAATAAACGTGTATAAAGTTAAAAAATGTTGCAAATTATCATTGAGAAACGTTTAGTAAG